CCTGTTCCTGTCCAAGTTAGCTAAATCTTTGCTCAACCATCCGTGATCATATGTAGGAAAGAGTCAACAAGTCTGCTGACTCTTCCGATAGCTGTAGAAGATGTAAAGCGAGAAGTCAAGATACTTCAAGCATTATGCGGACATGAAAACGTCGTCCAGTTCCACAACGCCTTCGAGGACAAAAACTATGTATACATAGTTATGGAGTAAGCCTCGGCATTTCTCCCAAGCTCCACCTTTCATCTTCTCTCTTAACTCTAGCTCATCCTTTTCTTGTGCTGCAAGAAATCACAACAATCTGTTTGATCGGATAATCAGTTCTGATTTCCTATCTTTCAGGTTATGCGAAGGCGGTGAATTACTGGATCGGATATTAGCCAAGTAAGTCGCTGTGAAAAAACCAGATGAAAGTATCGTGTTTGCATATTGAATTTCTTGAACTAGGGTTTCCGCTTTTCACGTATAAATGCTTTAGGACGAACACGCTCATTCTACTTTGATTCTTGGTGCACAAGTTAACTATCCATACCAATGTTCAACTGTATGTGTTTGTAGGAAAGATAGCCGTTACAGCGAGAAGGATGCGGCCATTGTCGTGAGGCAGATGCTGAAGGTTGCGGCAGAATGTCATTTACGAGGTCTGGTTCACCGCGACATGAAGCCAGAGGTAAGCTGCTTTCTCAAACTTTTGAACCATCCTCGTTCGATAATATGTTTTATCGTTTACGAGTAACTTCCTTGCTTTTTCTCTGCAGAATTTCCTCTTCAAATCAACCGAAGAAAACTCGCCTCTTAAGGCAACGGATTTCGGTTTGTCAGACTTCATAAAACCAGGTCAAGCCACAAGAAATGATTGCCATCCATTGCCTTTCTCTTCTTCTTCATCATCCAATCCATACATTCCCTTTTCTTAACTGACACATTGATTCTACAATGTCACTGATATTTCTGGTACATTGCAGGAAAAAAGTTCCACGATATCGTGGGAAGCGCGTACTATGTGGCTCCTGAAGTTTTGAAACGTCGGTCAGGGCCTGAATCTGACGTGTGGAGTATCGGTGTCATCACCTACATTTTGCTCTGTGGGAGGAGACCTTTCTGGGATAAGACCGAAGACGGAATATTCAAGGAGGTCTTGAGAAACAAACCAGATTTCAGGCGGAAACCTTGGCCAACCATCAGCCATGGCGCCAAAGACTTCGTGAAGAAGTTGTTAGTAAAGGACCCTCGAGCAAGATTAACAGCTGCTCAGGCCCTCTGTATGTGCCCTTCGTTCATCATCACTCGCCCAAAGCAAGAGTACCCGATCGCCATTTCAAACTATTTCTCATATTCTGAATGTTGTTTTCTCTGCAGCGCATCCATGGGTGAGAGAAGGAGGGGAGGCCTCAGAGATTCCTATTGACATATCAGTCCTCAACAACATGCGCCAGTTCGTGAAGTTCAGCCGTCTGAAGCAAATTGCTCTCAGGGTAAGAGGAGAGAACCATGAGAAAATGACATATGCCTCTGCCTGTTGATGCTTGATTTCGATGAACTCGTTTTGGTGTAGGCTCTGGCGAGCACGTTTGATGACGAAGAGCTGGCTAATCTTAGGGACCAGTTTGATGCAATCGACGTCGACAAAAACGGCTCCATTAGCCTTGAAGAGATGAGACAGGTAAGTAGAAACCCACCTTCTCTTCACTAACTCACCACGTACAAGTAAGCAACCTGCTGGAAGAGTTGCAAATATCCATTCATTTTCTCGTCCCATAGGCTTTGGCGAAGGATCTTCCATGGAAGCTTAAGGATTCTCGAGTCACAGAGATCCTTCATGCAGTAAGTAACCGAGGAAAAACACTAACCACCCCCTCGGGTTAAGTATTGATAGGGGGTGTATACTCTAAAAGCTGATTGTGTTGGTGCAGATTGATAGCAACACGGATGGGTTGGTCGACTTCCCCGAGTTTGTGGCAGCTGCATTGCATGTACATCAGTTAGAGGAGCACGACTCGGAGAAGTGGCAGCAGAGATCAAGAGCTGCATTTGAGAAGTTCGACATAGACAGGGATGGGTATATAACTCCGGAGGAACTTCGACTGGTCTGTCCCCCCTCGTACACATACCTTGTATTCTTTTATCATGAGGGTCTGACATTCTTTTCTCCTGTTGATGAGACCAAGTTTCTGTTGCAGCAAACGGGCTTGAAAGGCTCCATCGAACCTCTCCTGGAAGAAGCCGACGTTGACAAAGACGGGAAAATCAGCATCCATGAGTTCCAGAGGCTTTTGAGAACCGCGAGCGTCAAATCAAGAAACGTTAGGAGCCCTCCCGGTTACCAGATCTCCCAGAAGATGTAAAATCTTTGCTCAACCATCCGTGATCATATGTAGGAAAGAGTCAACAAGTCTGCTGATTTTGCTCCGATATCGAAAGGCGCCATTGTCACCGGACCCGGAGTTTAGTGAATTACGGTTTGGATTGATAATGTGTTGAACACCGAGTGCACTTTCTGGTCCGAGCCGGTGATCATGATCTTGTAAGGTTTTGGCGAGACATTCCCCACAAGTTGTTCTCTTATCGTAACATGTTGGTCGCTTACAATACTCACTTGCAAAGAAATGCGCATTTAACAGTGTTAACAGTTACCGTTAGTGTTAACAGTTACCGTTCGTGTAGGAACAGATCATGAAGCTGGTTTCGGTGTTTTACTTAAACATGTTCTCATTTTAACTGCCTTTAGAGACTGAAATCCACTTGTGGGCGTTAAAGGCGCAGACACGATGACCCTCATCTGTGGACAATTTCCAAAAAAATAATATATAATTATATATATGATTTAGCCATTAACCATTTGTTTAATGTTATCATCGTGGTTATGATCGGTCCATTCTCTTTTACAAATATATATATATATATATAGATATACATTGTATGTATGGTGCTCGTTTGATAAGATAAGATATGCACCTCATTCATACATCAACATACGACGTTAATGGAAGGAAACAAAAGTCAAAAGCAAGTTTGTCTTGGTCAATTAGTCATTCACGATTTTTTTTTTTATAATATGATATTATCTTCATCCCGTGATTACAGATCCGTTTAATTAACCCCCGCTCAAGAAAACGATATATATATATACACACCTTTTCTTTTATTAAGACATCTATAAATTGCAAAGTTTTTTTTTTTGGGTTAAATGTGAAATATATTAGTAAGAAGTATAATTACATGTTGGTGTTAACCGAATACAAAAGATAGGGTACCCATGATAAGTGAAAAAAAAAACACAAAAACCCCATGTTGGGGAGATGATAAAAAACATCTAAATTAGGACTTTTTTTTTCCGGAAGTTCACCAGACCTTTGGTCCGACTACATCTTCTAGAGGAATGGGGAAGCCCATGTAAATGTCTCTCCCGACGCTTGGATTTGAACCCAGGATGAGAGCATGCTTTACATGTTCTCTCACTACTAGGTCATCCAAGCTTGTGTTATCTAAACTAGGACTTCATTATCAAGAAAATACCAATCTTCAAGGAGGGAGGAGGATTGCAATTGACGGACCCTAAGTGTAGCCAGGAGAGTGTTACGAACAGACCTTTCGATCTTTCGTCGCTATAAATTGCAAACTTATGGCGGAATGTCACGATAATTTAAATTAAAATGTTGATTAGGTTCCCTAATTGTTATAAAATCTAATGAAGCGCTATAATAATTCCTGTATGTGCACACATGTAATATATATATATATATATATGACTCGTGACATGGCCATCTTCTCACCCAAGCGATGACACCTATCATATGAAATATATGGTCCATATGAATTGATATTGATGGATCCTTAGGTTGCAGTGGACCGACCATCTAATCTCGTTATGACAATTACAGTTCCAATTTGCCACGACGAAATAAATCCACACTTTCATTCTTATCGCGTCTGCAATAATTTTCCCCCAAATGGATAACGCCCTCCCTCTGCTGACTCAGCTCCATGACCCGGCCCGACCCGAATTGATTAACGTAATTCAAAACACTAATCGACCTTTCGCCTATAAATACACACTCCTGCTCCTTTTTCCCTCCCTCTACGACAGAACAATCAGACGACGACGACGATGATGCTTTCTTCTTCCCCTTCTTCCTTCTCTCCTCCGTTCCTCTCTTCTTCTCCGCCTCTCTCCCCCACATCTCCGCCGCCTCACGCTCGCCTTGCTCCGCCTATCTCCGCCGCCGCTTCCGCCTCCTGCTCCTACACCTGGACGGAGGAGCCGCCACGGTTGCGGCAGAGCCCACGGCGGGTGAGTGTGCCGCAAAGCGCGTCCCTGTACGAGATCCTGGAAGTTCCGATCGGCGCGACGAGCCGCGAGATCAAGGCGGCTTACCGGCGATTGGCCAGGATCTGTCATCCCGACGTCGCGGGAATCGATCGGGAAAACTCGTCGGCGGACGAGTTCATGAGGATCCACGCGGCTTATTGCACGCTCTTGGATCCCGATAAACGAGCCGTCTACGACCGTAGGATCCGGCAGCGGAGCAGACCGATGACCACCGCCGGGACCTCCGGATTCGGCAGGTATGGCGGAAGAAACTGGGAAACCGATCAGTGCTGGTAGTGAGTCGACTCAGCAACCGAGTTGGCTCGGGCCGGTGCCGCTACGGTTTGTGGTTAATCAGAAACTGGGAAACTAAATACACGGCGAGAAGCGTGGGGATTAGTGGCTAATCAGATTATCATTGGATTAGTCGTTAATTACGATCAATCTTGGGTGGTTCATGTGATTAAAAAAAAATCAGATAACATCAAATGTATATAGATGTATGTATTCACATGTACAGAGTATTAAGTATGAAATAGCCTGAATTTCCAAAAGTTTAACGGATCAATATCAGTGTGTAAAATTTGTGGTTGTAACCATTTATGTTTACATCTCAGATTTTAGATATTTTTTTTTTCTACTGTTTTTTTTTTGTTATAATTTTAAGTTTTGTTTGGATTTAGTTTATACTTATCTTTATTAAAAATGATAAGCTTTGGTTGATTGGAGCATAATCAGCAATAATCTCATCCGCAATGATAAGCGACAAAATCTACGGTCAGAAGATTCTAAAAGTGAAAATTAATATATATCGCGTAATTAAATATTTACATATTTAACCTTTTTTGTATATTATTAAAAATATTGAATCCTGTGAATAATGAATATATTATGGACATTGTCACGGAGGCCCCCCCGCGTGACACAACGTGGGCGCGGAACTGCACATATCTATCTTTGTAGTTCTACAAGGGAATTTATTTTGAAAATATATTTTATATGTTTTAATCAAATCAGATTCAAAAAATGAAAATATATTATAAATAATAATTCGATAATAACTGAATTATATTTTTTTTAATCTAACTACAGTTTGATATACACCTTGAATTTGTTAGTTTCTGGTGAATCAAAAGTTAAAATTCGAAATAAATTAATTAAATAATTATCAATCTCTATTTTATTTTATTTTATTTATCCTTCTAGAAACTATATATATAAAGATTTAGTGCGGTCTCTCTTTTGAAATAAAATAGATGAAAAGAAATTTCAAAACTCGTGCCCGTCCAAATGCTGACTTGTACACCCAAGAAAAAAGGAATGTAGAGGAAATAATGAACAATTATCCGGATTTTTTGGATCCAACAGATCATAGACGTTTCGTTGAATTTTCAACTTTAAAAAATATTATATTTTTTATCGTGCAAATGTTCGGATTCATTTATTTGAATTTCCTTCAAACATCGAAAGCGGTCCGGCGGTGATGCACTAAACATTGGTATTTGGGCCTTGGAGGATAAAATATGGGCCCATGTTAAGTCCAAGTAATGGGTTTAGGCCCAATAGTAAATATATTTACGGTGGGCGTCAACCCACCTGATTAACCCACGGAAAAGGCGGCGTTTTCCCAAATTCATAATCTCCAAGAATCTCCCCAACATTAATTAGATTTAGTTGGATACTCTGTTTGAAAAGGTTTAGGGTTTGATTAATGAATGATGACATCTCTAAAAATAAAGTTTTTTCCTTTAAATCTTATTTTTATCCTTAAATGAGATCTCTCGAGACATATATATAGAGACCCCGGATTCCATCTACCAAACCAAACCAAACCAAACCCTAGGTACCCAATCTCTCTCTAAGCGAAAAGCTTCGATTTTTGTTTGTTTTGATCCGATGTCGCTTGAGGAGCAATCGGCTGTGAGATCCACCGGGAAGGTTCTCTGGTTCAACGACATTAAAGGGTATGGCTTCATCACTTCCGATGACGGTGGTGAAGAGCTTTTTGTTCATCAGTCCTCCATCGTCTCCGACGGTTTCCGGAGCCTGACGGTGGGAGAATCGGTGGAGTTCGCTGTCGCACTGGGCGGCGACGGCAAGACCAAAGCCGCTTTCGTCACCGCCCCCGGCGGAGCTCCACTTAACAAGAAGGAAATCGGCTCCCGCGGAAACGGCGGAGGATCGGGTTGCTTCAACTGTGGCGAGGTCGGTCACATGGCGAAGGACTGCCGTAACGGCGGCGGAAACAGCTACGGAAGCGGTGGCCGAGGAGCAGGCGGGGAAGGGTGCTACAACTGCGGCGAGGTTGGTCACATGGCGAAGGACTGCCGTACCGTTGCTACAACTGCGGCGGTGTGGGGCATTTCGCTAGGGAATGCCGGCAGATTTCCGGCGGAAACGTAGGAGGCGGAGGCTCTTGCTATAGCTGTGGAGGATTTGGGCACATGGCGAGAGACTGCAAGAGCAGGAGACCGGCCGGTGCTTGCTACGAGTGCGGTGGAACAGGTCACTTGGCTCGTGACTGTGACCGGAGAGGAAGCGGTGGCGGTGGCGGTGGCAAGTGTTTTAACTGCGGAAAGGAAGGTCATTTTGCTAGGGAATGCTCTGTTGGTTCCTAATCAACAACAGCGAAAAATGACTGAAAGAAGCGTGATATCTGTGCATATTCCTCTTCTTTTCACCTCAATATCTCTTGACTTTTGTTGATGGGAATGAATTTGCTTGGTCCTATTTGTGGGGTTTTTTTTTTTAATACACAGTTATGCTCATTTTTGGGTGACTATATATACACACATGGCGAGCTTCTTTTCTGGTATGGTTCCTGCAAGATTTGGCCTTTATAGTGTCTGGTTTTGTTCGCAAATTAACTGCTCTGTTTATCTTTTGCAGTTCAATAGTGTGATGTTCTTGGGTTTCCTGTGGTTAGCCTGTGAATCATCAAGTCTTTCATGCTTGCTCCATTGAATTTTATATCAGCTGATGAAAGTTTCTGCAGAATCTCCAGAATGGTAAAACCTGGTGAGATCTGGCTGGACCTCCCATTCCAAGATCTTCTCACCATAAGATTGATCCTAGATATAATAATATTTGATCTTTTCTTGTGTTTTACCTTTAGGGTTTGATCATGAACAGAGCAATTGCTCTGTTGTGTTTGGTAATTTTTAGTGTTACCCTTTACCAAAACAAAACTGCACTAGTAGTGAATTAGGCCAAGTCCTAGTTAGGTGTTAACCTCTTCCTGTTCCTGTCCAAGTTAGCTGTTTAGCCAAAGATGTCTCTTGAGCTTGTTCCCCCAGCTATAAAAAAGGATGAACCCTTTGTTTTCCCCAAACCCTTTATTCTGTATTCTGATTTGTGATGGTGCAGAGTAAACTTTGTGCTTAGCTACAAATTGTATGATGAAATATTATATTATTATTGATTGGGACACGACTGGTACTGGTAGGACACAACACGGCCTTGTATTTCAGCATCATTTCTTGTTCCCACTTCCCTCTCATACATGATATCATTATATATGCAACAATCCAGTTCGGAGATGAACAATGTGAAGGTTTGAATAACTTGGAAACGATGATGTTCCAAGGAGATAAGATTTTAACCGACATGTTGGAGACTGACATCGCATCTAAGGTATGGAATCATTGTAAACAGACAAAAAGGAAACTTAATACACCAGATCTCCTTTTTTTTCTTTCTTGTTTTTATATTTGGGAATATCTTTTCTTTTTTTGTGTGTAATAATGGAAAGAATGTGACCATGAACATGTATCGTAGCCGGCATGGTCGCACGTGAAGACCCTGTTTCTTGTCCTTAAGGAATCACGCACCACCCACATAAAGATTTTATCAGAAATCTTAATCAAATCGCAAGAGAACAGATCGAAGAAGAAGAAGGAGTTTGTTTCATGAAGAACACGTAGAAGAACTTCTCTGATGATCTTTATTCACAAGGTGTTCTTTACATAATATAGACTTTCTCAAGTCTATAAGAAAGGAAAATACGTTGGTTGATATATTGCTATGTACACTGAAAGGAAGTTTGCCATTTACGAGGATTCAATCAAGGCTTCTGAGTAAATCTGGAAGATTTCATTCTGATTCATCAAACCCTCCATTTGATCTTGAGGTTTTGCTTAGTTGCTTACTGGAGAAGAAATCATTGACTTCATCTCTAGTTGATTGATTGTCTTGAACGTGTGCTTCGGTTCGGTTATCCTCAACATTCCCCTCAAGATTGGTCGGCGGTATTCGGTAAGACCAATCTTGAAGAGAACATTGTTAAGAATAAGTGAGCTTGTCGCCTTGGTGAAAATGTCGGCAAGTTGATCTCGGCTTCGAGTGTACATTGGCGATATTGTCCCGTTTGTGATCTTTTCCCTAATAAAGTGGCAATCGACCTCGATGTGCTTCGTCCTTTCGTGAAAGACGGAGTTGGCTGCGATATGAAGGGCGGCTTGATTGTCGCAATGAAGTGGAACCGGACGAGTAGTGTCGATTCCAAGGTCCTCCAAGAGTTGCTTCAACCATATGATCTCACTTGTGGTATTTGCCATTGCTCGGTATTCAGCCTCCGCACTTGACCTTGCTACCACGGTTTGCTTTTTGCTCTTCCAAGTGACAAGATTGCCTCCGACGAATGTGCAGTACCCGGTGGTAGACTTTCGATCCGTCCTATCTCCGGCCCAATCTGCATCGCAATATCCAATGATCTCCGTGTGTTTGTTGTTCCTCATCCATAGTCCCTTGTTCGGTGTGCCTTTGAGATATTTAAGTATTCGATCCACCATTTGCCAGTGAGTCGAGGTTGGTGCGTGCATCCATTGACTAACCTGGTGCACAGCGAAGCTTAAGTCAGGACGTGTGATTGTAAGATAGATAAGCTTACCGACAACGCGACGATATTGTTCAGCGTTTTCCAAAGATTCCCCCTCGCGTTGATCTTTGAAATGCTCCTCTAGTGGTGTTCTGACGGGCTTAGCTCCGAGTTTCCCTGTCTCAGTAAGTAGGTCAATGATATATTTTCGTTGAGATAAAAAAATATCATCCGAGTCACGAGTAACTTCAATCCCAAGAAAATAATGGAGTGGACCAAGATCTTTAATATCAAAAACAGTTTTAAGATGTCGTTTAGTATCCTCAATACCACTCAAATCATTGCCCGTAAGTATTATGTCATCGACATATACTAAAAGTACGATTATACCCGAGGTCGAGTGGAGGATGAATAGCGAGTGATCGGAGTGACTTCGGGAGAAGCCTTTGGCAAGAAGAGCATCATGTAATTTTTGATACCAAGCGCGCGGGGATTGTTTCAACCCGTAGATTGCCTTGGAAAGTCGACAAACTCGGTTATCCTCTGTATATCCTGGTGGGGGCTTCATAAAGATTTCCTCTTCGAGATCCCCCTGTAAGAAAGCATTCTTGACATCAAGCTGCCACAAAGACCAATTTAGATTAGCTGCTAGAGAAAAAATAACACGAATCGAGGGAATCTTAGCCACGGGAGCAAAGGTGTCGGTGTAATCTTCCCCATAAGTTTGAGTGAAACCCTTTGCTACCAAACGCGCTTTGTACCGTTCGATCTCTCCATTGCTTTTGTATTTGATTTTGTAAATCCATTTAGACCCAATGGCCTTTTTGTTCGGTGGTAAATCTGTGAGAGTCCATGTTCGGTTGCGTTCTAACGCAGCTAGTTCCTCTTGCATGGCAGATATCCATTCCGGAGAATTCTTGGCTTGATCATATGTTTGTGGCTCCGACACCTGGGTAATAGCACTCAAAAAAGACTGTGCATTAATCGGAAAATGAGAAAGAGAAATATAGGGCTGAATTGGGTGAACCACTTTGGCAAGGTTTGTGTTGGCATTGGCGAGCACTTTCCAAGTGGGCTTGCGATCACGTGTCCCTCTACGTAGTGCTGGAGGATCAGAGGTGTCATCAGTACAAGAGGAGAATTTGCCGACAGTTGTTTCAGCTGGAAACGAAGGCAACCCAAGAGGCTGGTCCGTAGGAACCGAACATGGTTCCCCCTGTCGGACATCATGAGGTGGAATGGCAGCGGTAGAATCTAAGTTGTCATGTTCATCTTGGAATAGTGGATGACCTGCAGTGTTAGAAGGAGAAGAACCATCGAGAAAGAGAGGAAGAGCTGGCGAAACCTGTGGGGACAAAACAGAGTCCGACGAGTCCAATTCGGCAGAATCTGCGGAAGAGGGATTCTGATGGGGTTTGTCACGCAAAGTCGAAGGGGAGGTCTGATTACTGATGTTTCGGAACGATTGGCGGAGTTGATCGGGATAGGGATTGTAGTCAGTTCCTTGTTCAGCAAGATTCTCCAAGTGCTTCCAATTCTTGGCGTCAAAGTAGCCAAGATTTTCTTCAAATTTGACATTACGAGACGTGTAGATTCTCTTTGATTCGGGGTGATAGCACGTGTATCCTTTTTGGTCCGGAGGATAACCCAAGAAGATGCATCGAATGCTCTTTGGTTGAAGCTTATGTCGTTGCCCTTCGTCAATATGCACGAAACATACACAACCGAAAACGCGTAAGTGTTCAAGAGAATCTTTACGTGAATGAAGTACCTCAAATGGTGAATGATCTTGAAGTATTTGAGTTGGTAGACGGTTTATGAGGTAGCACGCCATCTTGACCGCATCACTCCAATAGATCTTAGGCATGTGACGATGGAAAAGAAGAGTTCGAGCCACCTCCATTAGATGTCGATTTTTCCGCTCGGCAACACCATTTTGTTGGGGAGTATTGGGACAAGATCTTTGGTGAATGATGCCGTGTTGGTTGAGAAAGGCTCGAAAGGAATGACTCATGTATTCACCTCCGTTATCTGTACGGAAACATTTGATCTTTTTGCCAAATTGGTTAGAAATGAAGGCATGATAAGTCTTGAACGTTTCAAAGACATCGCTTTTGTTTTTCAAAAGATATAACCATGTATATTTTGTTTTTTCGTCAATAAATGTTACAAAATATTTATAATGATCTCTCGAGAAACAAGGCGAAGTCCATAAGTCGGAATGAATAAGATCAAATGCATTATCATAAACGGTAGTAGAAATAGGAAACATCGATCTACAATGTTTTCCAAGCACACATGCTTCACACAAGTCATGAGGAACAACATCATCTTTAGTGTTTGGAACTAGTAATCGGAGAACTTTATTGTGCGGATGGCCTAATCTAGCATGCCAAAGTGATTTAGAAACATGAAACGATGAATGAGCTGGAAAATGCAAGTCTGCAATGTAGTAGAGATTGGCGTGTCTTATCCCCTTTCCAAGCGTAGCATCGGACTTAGTATCCTGAAAGATCACACTATTAGAATCAAATAGAACTTTGCAATCTGTATCATGAATGAATTTAGAAATGGATAATAAGTTGGTGCTAAAGTCAGGAACATAAAGAGCCGAGAACTCCCTTCCAAACAACCGAACCAAACCTTGTCCTTTAATCGAAACAAATTTTCCGTTGGCAACCGTAACCATCCCATATGATTGTTCAAGTTTATAGAAAAGATTTTTATCATGAAACATGTGGGTGGTTGCCCCGGAATCGATGATAATGTGCGGTGTAGGAAGAGAGGAAAAATTACCGGTTTCTTTTTCTTTCATAGAAAGGACAAATTGTTTGAATTCATCTTGAGTGAAGGAGATGGTGTTTCCTGCACTCATCGCAGCTCCTTTGGTCTGCGAGGAATCCCGATAACGAGTCGGCTTTAAATGAGGATTTAGGATCCAACAACGATCCTTAGTATGCCCCTGTTTCTTGCAGTGCTCACACATCGGTCCACGCTTTTCTTTGGGAATTGGCAGTAATGGCAGATTTTTCTTAGTGTAGTGCGCCATCTCCAGTGGTCCTGCAAACAAATTTCTCCCAGTTTCTTCTCTCTTGATTAGCATACATACCTCGGAGAATGATGGAAGAGTTGTGTGGCGCAGGATGTGGTAGATAAGGGAATTGTATGACGCATCAAGGGCAAGGAGAAGGCCAAACACTTTATCTTCATCAGCTCTCTGAAGAAACACCTTCGGATCGACAATCGATGGGCGGATCTCCTCGAGCTCAGACCAAAGAGCGGTATAGATGCCTTGGATCTGATTGAATGGTTGTCCTTGTTGCTGCAAGGTTGACAATTTTTTCTTAATCTCGTAAATACGGCTTATGTTTGATAAGTTACCGTATACATCCTTAAGAGCATCCCATAGGCTTTTTGCAGACTCCATGGCGATGAATGATTGGAGCAGATTGTGGTCGAGGGAACCTTGCAAAATGACCAAGGCAATTTGATCATCTTGGTGCCATTTTGTTGTCGCCTCTGCAGTAACAGTCGGTCGTGGTCGGGTTTCTATTTGCGGCTCCTCTCCTTGTGCCGCAACCAATGGCGGGGAAGAAGGCGCAGTCCCGTCGGTGATGTGGGTCCATAGCCCTTTGCTACTGAGCGTGGCCTTTGCGGCTTTCGACCAGTAGAAATAATTTTCTCCGTTAAGAGTTATCGGAATCGGTTTTGACGAACTATCCATGATGCTGAGAGAGAGAGAGAGAGACAAGAGATAGATTTTCAGAAAGAGGGGAGAAGATATAAAAGAGAAGAGATGATCTTAAGCTCTGATACCATAAAGATTTTATCAGAAATCTTAATCAAATCGCAAGAGAACAGATCGAAGAAGAAGAAGAAGGAGTTTGTTTCATGAAGAACACGTAGAAGAACTTCTCTGATGATCTTTATTCACAAGGTGTTCTTTACATAATATAGACTTTCTCAAGTCTATAAGAAAGGAAAATACGTTGGTTGATATATTGCTATGTACACTGAAAGGAAGTTTGCCATTTACGAGGATTCAATCAAGGCTTCTGAGTAAATCTGGAAGATTTCATTCTGATTCATCAAACCCTCCATTTGATCTTGAGGTTTTGCTTAGTTGCTTACTGGAGAAGAAATCATTTGACTTCATCTCTAGTTGATTGATTGTCTTGAACGTGTGCTTCGGTTCGGTTATCCTCAACACCACATGCCTACCAGTAGTTCTCCTATATATACTCTCTAATCATCCTCCTAATTCCTCGCCGGAGCATACAGATCCGCCGGAGAATCTCGCCGGCGGCTAAACCATAGAGATCCAGTATTGGAAAGAACACGCCGGCTCTCTGCTCCAATGGGTCTATCTCAAGTTTCTCTCTTTCTTATCCTCGAGGTGGTTCTTCTCTTTGTCAATGGCGGTTCTGGAACCACCTTCTCCATTATCAACCAGTGTGGCTACACCGTTTGGCCGGGGCTTCTCTCCGGCGCCGGAACCTCCCCTCTACCGACCACCGGCTTCGTCCTTAACCCATCGGAGACACGTGTCATCCCCATCCCCGCCGCTTGGTCCGGCCGCATCTGGGGCCGTACACTCTGCTCTCAGGACGAATCGACCGGGAAATTCTCTTGCATCACCGGCAACTGCGGCTCCTCCGCCTTGGAATGCTCCGGAACCGGCGCCGAACCACCGGCGACCCTCGCCGAGTTCACCCTCAACGGCGCCGGAGGGCTCGACTTCTACGACGTCAGCCTCGTCGACGGCTACAACATCCCCATGACCATCGTCCCGCAGGCCGGAGTCCCCAGCGCCGGAAACTGTACGGCAACGGGGTGCATCACCGACCTCAACGGTCCATGCCCCGCGGTGCTGAAGGTGTCGTCGCGGTCACCGGAGCAGGCGGTGGCGTGCAAGAGCGCGTGCGAGGCGTTCGGGGAGCCGCAGTACTGTTGCAGCGGAGCGTACGGAACACCGGACACGTGTAAGCCGAGCGAGTACTCGGAGTTCTTCAAGAGCGCGTGTCCTAGGGCTTATAGCTATGCTTACGACGACGGGACAAGCACCTTCACTTGCTCCGGTGCTGATTACGTCATCCCCTTCTGTCCTTCTCCGACCACGAGGTACGACACGACATCTTTTAAGTTCATTACAATATCTAAGGTCCCTTCAATGCCCATTACTCGACGGCTCTTGTTATGTCCATATCTGTAATAAAGATTTGTTTTTTGTTACTTGTTTTTCGCAGCATGAAGAGTCTGCAACCGGAGGCGGTCATCGTCTCCACCGCTTCGCCGAGATTCTCCGCCGCGTTTTCCTTCGGCGTTTTGGCCGCAGCTGTTTGGACCGTTGGCCGCGTTTGCTTATATATTCTTTTCATTGGGAAATCAGACCAGTTTTTTTTCTTCTTTTTGCACTATCAGTATAGAAGAAGATTAGAGAAAAAATCATTCAGAAGAAAGATTTGTTTTGTTCAAGAGATTAAATATCAGTGATGCTTCTTCCATGGATGAATCCTAATCCTATGGTCGTCCGCTAAATCCTCTAGCCGAAACAGTGGGTCTCGTGAGGACCACTCTTTGAGAAACCGCTGTTTCGTGTAGAGGTTTTGTCCGAATCCAGTGCCGACTGCCGAGTTCTTGTGATGAATGCGGTGATATATGAGATGCTTGGACGAACGAAAAAAAAAATGAATCAGAAAATTTTTCATTGATCTTCTTTCATCAACGAAAGCTTTATTCTCCTACAGATTTAAGAACAATCGAAGCAGAAATTAAAGAAGAATCTAAGATTCTGTTGCGGATTCAGATTTCTGGGTATCGATCCGAGACTTGAGGTACAGATTCTTGGTTCTTGTCACCAGGAACATATCCAGACCAAACCCCACAACGCAAGCTACGGCCATAATGAGAAAGACAAGACGGTAACAATGAGCTCCGACGCACGTGTTGCCTCCACTGCCGGCTTTCCTGGCTTCGGCATCGTACAGATAACCGGCGAGCAAACCGGAGAACAAGAACGAACCGAGAGGGAGGTTCAGAATCAGAATGTTGTATAACATTCCATAGTACTTTAACCCGAACAGCTCGGACGCGACCGGTACGGTTATGGTTAACCGGAAGCCGTAGCAGATTCCGACGAGGATTGAACCGATGTAGAGAGATCCCGGTATGGCGAAAGCCATTACTGCATACCCTATTGTCATCAGGACCTGAGAAACAGCGTTCCAAACCGGTCTCGGCGTTCCACGTCTCCTGCGAAAAAATAAAAATTTGGCAAAAGGGTCTGAGAATTCGGTTGCTTGGATCAGACGTAACTATGTAAACTGAGAAATCTTGTTTCATTGTTACCTCATGTAATGTTCAGACATCAAACCGGAAGCGATCCGTCCGAAGAATCCCCAGATACTTATGAGGGATATGAAAACAGATGCGTCGGTAAAGCCTTGAGCTAGTGACATCTGCGCCATGTTGTTCATCACACACATTCCAGGCCCGACGCCGAAAAGGAATGAAATGAACAGAACCCAGAAATCAAGAGTTCGCATCATTTCAGGTACAGTGTGTTCTTCCCCAATCTCGGGCTTCAGATCTGTCTTCTGGTCCTGGATTTTCGTCTGAACTGTTTGATTGGTCAACAAAGGCTCCTTGATTGAACGCTCGATATCCGGTCTCGATCTCGGTTTGAACAAGATTGCGTAGAGAGGAACCAGTACTGGAGAAGCAAGGAGTGTAAACAGCCCAGCAGCGAAGACGAGAGACAGAACACGCCCATGTCTTCCAGATATGTCGAAAGCCAAGAGATAGACAGCGAGAGCAATGGCGATAACGTTGAACACGTTGAAGAACTTGGTCTCTTTCTTCTCCTCTTCAGGGTCGGAAGCAGGAGAAGTTTCATGGAGGAAGAAGGAGGCGATGAAGCAAATCACAGCAGGAACCACTGCGAGTATCGCCACAAAAGCTGAAGGATCCGATGAGAACAGAGCCGTGGAGACATCTGTGAAGATGGCAGTGCTCAGCCCGAGATAGCCCTTGAGGATTCCCGAGACGGGTCCTCGTTTTCCGGGGAAACTTCTCATGCAAGTAACCAAAACCGCGGTGTTCATCCACGTCGTGCTGTTCCCTCCCAGACACAGAAATACACACATCTGTTCTTGCACATGAAACAAATCACCAGAAAAAACACACATATGAACAGAGAAGTTGTGTTGATGATATCGAGAATACGAAAACAGAGGATCGATCTCTGCGTTCTTTTTTTTTCTTCGGTTTACCTGCCAATAAGGAAGAGGGCTGATCTTCTTGCTCACGACAAGCCATTGAGCTCCATATCCGACAAGCCCTTCGAGAGCTCCGATGATGAGAATAACAGAAGGAGGGAGATAGTCAGAAGCAAAACCAGAGATCAAACCGAAGGCTTTTCCGACATCTTTCGCGACAGAGAGATTGTTCAGCTGAAGCTGAGACAGATTCATCAGAGATTTCAGAGAATCCGAGTAATTCGAGAACGTGTAATTGTTCCCGCAGATGGCTTGAACCCAGATAGCCGTCACGAATCCTAACCATTTCGCAGCAGAAGAAACCCGACCCATCGTTGAATGATGATGATGATGATGATGATCTGATTGATGATAGACAGGGGAATTGAGAAGAAGAAATTGATTCGGAAAGTGTATAGAATTTCAGAGTCCTGCAAATTGGTATGAAGGGTCTGAAGCTATATATAGTGTATATGTATATATATACGTGTGTATGAGATTAAGTATTGGTTTCATTTCATCAAAAAAAAAAAGTATTGGTTTCATTACCACAGCGTGGAGCTGTCACTTGACGTATGTCTGAAAAAAAACCCTTCACGGCCTCGGGTTTTCAGAACGGCGACAAACATATGGGGCCCGCAAAGTGTTTGACCAATTTGGGCGAAATCCGATGGTTTTAATCAGGGTTTAGTTTGTTTTTTTAATTACAACAATCATATGTAGATGGTTTTATATAGAAATTACTCTGCTAAATTCATTTAAATTGAAAAAAAGAAGCATTGTTTTATATAGAAAATTAGAAAGGATATATACTCTATAAATGGTAAATTAAATGTAATGTGCGAGTATATCCAAAGTATTAGTAATTTATTTTATGTACATTTGATAATATATTAATTAATACATCTAAAATTTTATATGGCTAAAAATCTGTGAATCTCTACAAAAAACAGAAAATTGTTAATAATTTATAATAATACATAACATAATAATTATATGTTTTAATCAATTATAAACAATCTTTTGAGGAAATGGGCCAGGAATGATTAAAAAAAATTCATTTAAAATAGAATGAAAAAAAGCATTGAAGTCAAGAGCTTCGGAATAAACCATTTTAAAATTAGTTATATACAATTTATGAATTAAATCTAAAATATTAAAAAAAATAGATTTTAAAGCAGAACAAACATAATTTTTTTCTAAAAAAGAGCAAAATATGTCCTAACCTAAACCCCTAAAGTCAATGCTAAAAACTAATATTTGCTTGCGTGGTTTTAAAAAAAAAAAAAGATCCCCGTTTTGAATATATATTATAAGAAATGCAACCCAAGGGCTGATATCTCTCGGGCCCTCCATGCCGCCTTTACTCTGCAGCTGTTTTCTTTAACCCTCTGTCCTCCACCTCTGGGTGCCAAAACCAGAGAAAACAGCCAACCAGATCTTGAAATAATAAAGCTCTGATCTTTCACCATAACTCGCAAAAGGGTTTTCAAAATATTTCGACGATATGGGATTTTATCCGCTTGCAGGATTATTCATGTTTTCCTCTTCTTCGTGAGAGCTCTGTTTCTGAATCAAGAGTCGTGAATGAGAATGTCGATGTGTTTGCTCCATGTCGGGTTCTAATTCTTGTCTGTTTTTATTCTTGTCCGGAACTCTTTTTTTTTTTTTATGTCTGATGGTAAAAGTTTTTATGCTCGATTCAAACCCAATTGTGGGGGAAAAGTATTCATTCAAACTTCTCCGGACTCCTAAAAAATATAGTTGAATCAAAAGGAGTAATGAATTTTTAGATTATAAAAAAAAATATCGCCAAAAAAACTCTTTACTCTTCCCAAATTAACGAAAAAATTCTGTATTTTTTTTATTACTAATTAAATCTTATATTTGGTGTGATTAATCCATAAAATCCATCACTTTTTAAAATTCGCCGAAAATATCTCGCGTCTGCGGACTCAAACTAAATGATGATGCGGTAATAACATAGCATAAACACATCATCATAATTATGTCATGTCATTATTTCAAACAAAATTTAAATTAAATAATTTATTTAAATTAACATGTATACATATAAATTCACATATATATATATATATTAAATATAAAATTACTTATAACTAATAAAACATATATATATATATAATATTATTATAAATAACATATATTATTTTTAATATGTATTGTATACATATTAGTTATAATTATTTTATTTTTGAAATTTTTTTAAAAAATATAAGATTTTATAAATTAATCATACCAAATATAAAATTTAATTGATAATAAAAAATATAGAATTTTTTCGTTGATATATGAAAAGATTACAGTAATTTTTTTTTTTGCGATAACACCGTAAGTTAATATGTCATATTAGATTTTTCACTTTCGGGGAACAGCGCGGGAAGCCTCCCGAGACGGTTAAGATAGAAACCGGTTTAGTCTTGAACACGAGGAACATTACCGGTTTAGACCGGTCCACGCTTCTTCTACGCGGAACTTCCGCGTCCTCCCACAATAAGCTGATAGCTCCGTCACTTTTCCCCCTCGCTAAGTCTCTTCGTCGTCGTGTATATCAATCTTCGTCGTCGTGTATATCAACCTTCGTCGTCTTTTATCTTATTTGCTTGTGTGTTCGTAATTCTAATCGCCGGCGAAAATGAGTTCCTCTGCGAACCCTAACCAAAAGCAAAGATCTTCGCTTTACCCAGAAGTTGATTTCTCGAACCCAGAACCTCAAATGCGCCCCTCGAATCCGATCTCCTCCTCATCTTCCAATCTCTATCCATCCCTCGATATGCATGATCTTGTCGGAAATCTCTTCCCGGACCCGCTGGAGGTTAAACCAATCCGGTATTATGCCGCCTCCGCTCCTCCTCCGGCGATGGAGGAAGTGATCCTGCGGATTCCCGGCGCGATCCTCCACCTCATCGACCAATCTTACAGTGTCGAGCTCGCTTGCGGCGATCTCACTGTTCTCCGTCTCATTCAGGGCGAGAATGTCATTGCCGTTCTCGCCCGCATCGCCGATGAGATCCAGTGGCCTTTGGCCAAGGACGAAGCCTCCGTGAAGGTGGACGACTCGCATTACTTCTTCTCCCTCCGTCTCGCTAAGGAATCCGGGTCGGATTCCAGCGACGACGAGGGGCCCAGCAAAAACTCTAAATCGAAATCGGAGGAAGATAACGGTATGCTGAACTACGGATTGACGATCGCGTCGAAGGGGCAAGAGCTGTTGCTCGAGCAGCTTGACCGGGTCTTGTCGGATTACAGCTGTTTCACGGTGCAGCAAGTGTCTGAGAAGGCGAAGGAGAAAGGGGAAAAGGTGTTGGATGCGACGGTGGCGAAGGAGACTTCGCCGGCGGAGCTGAAGGGGGACAAGAAGGAGATGGTGGAGAAGCAATGCGCTGCGTATTGGACGACTTTGGCGCCGAACGTGGAGGATTACAGTGGAAAGACGGCGAAGCTGATCGCTTCTGGTTCCGGGCAACTGATAAAAGGGATTCTCTGGTGTGGGGATGTGACCATGGATCGACTCAAATGGGGAAACGAGTTCATGAAGCGGAGGATGACCAAGGCCGAGAAGGAGAAGGAGATAAGCCCTGAGACCTTGAAAAGGATCAAGAGGTATGATTACTCTATAACCTGCTGTAGATCATTTGGTGTTGAGGGTTGTCTTCTGATCTCTGTTTCGGATCCAAGAAGTGGTTTTTTTGTGGTGATTCTGTTTCTGGACAGGGAAACATCGTTGTTTAGTTTGTAAGTATTATTAGTGAAACTTGTGTGCTAGATACTTGAGTTTGACTTCATCTTGGATAAACTCTTTGTCAGTATCTGTTTAAACTTATACCAGAGACTTTCAGGCAGCCTTATCCTAACTATGGTTGAGCTCCTCTAATGGAGTTAATATGTTTTGTGATGAGTTTGAAGTGTTCGAACCTTAAAAGTCTTTGGTTCTATTCTATGTCATTTTTTTTTGTGGTCCGGAGTTAAGGTGGCATGAATCTTGATGTCTGGTTTGTTTGCTGTATGCAGGGTGAAGAGGATGACCAAGATGACTGAGAAAGTGGCCAATGGTGTGCTCTCTGGTGTTATAAAAGTTTCAGGTTTCTTGACGAGTTCTGTGGCAAACACCAAAGTCGGGAAGAAATTCTTTAGCGCTCTTCCCGGAGAGATCGTTCTCGCAACACTTGATGGATTCAGTAAGTCAGATCATCCTTTCTTTTTTACGATTACGTATAAACTCTGATACTTTCGGTGGTCTCCTAACATTGTCTTACCTGCCCTTGCGGTACCCGAAGTAACATATGCACGTCTTCTGGGTTCTTTCTTGTTGTTTTGACAGACAAGATATGCGATGCTGCTGAAGTAGCTGGAAAGAATGTCATGGCAACATCGTCAACTGTCACAACCGAACTCGTCGATCACGGGTAATCTTCTTCCTTTATTGGGGGAAACGGGCAAAATCCTTTTAAGGGTTCATGACCAGAACATTGGTTAATCTCTTTCGATCGAGATGTTTAGAACATGGAAAACTAAACTCGAGGAATATTCGGGTTGCAGGTACGGGACAAAGGCGGCTGAGGCGACGAACGAAGGGCTGGAAGCAGCAGGGCATGCGATAGGGACAGCATGGGCTGCTTTCAAGATCCGAAAGGCCATTAACCCCAAAAGCGTACTGAAACCTTCGACACTGGCGAAATCCGCTGCAAAAGCTGCAGCTGAAGAGAAGAAGAAGCTCAAAAAGGACTCTAAGTAGATCAGAAAAAAAGATGCTCTTGTTGTCTGTAATGTTTCTGTATACAGAACAGAACTAGTGAGTAGGGTTCTTAGATTAATTAGGACATTTTTGCAAGTGTTTGGTCCTTTTCTCCTGAGAATATTGGAATGCTTTTGTTCTGAGTTTCCCGTTGTCTTTGTTTTTTTTTTTTCCCCATCTTTTGAATGATAGTGAACGGAGGATGAGGAAAAAGAATGGCACATACATTTTATTTACATTGTTGCCTTGTGTTCGGTTGTGCATGCTCCATGTACCACCTTCAAAGACTGCATGCCGTTTAGTCAGTTAGAAACGGCAGGTTGTTTTTTCCTCCGTTTTTAATAAAATAGAATTGATTGGCCCATCCAGGTTTCGAACCTGCGACCTTCGCGTTATTAGCACGACGCGCATGTGAGGCGGGTGGCGTACCGATCAGTTCAATCCAGTTAATAATCCAATAACAGGAATTATAACCGAACTATTAGGATATATATTTTTTTATGTTTTATTCTAAATATTTATATAATATTTTTATAATTTTATTTTCAATTTTTATAGACTCTTTAATTTATAAATAATTAAAAGATATTTTTATTTGATTAAAATCTTATTTATATATATATATATATCATATTAATTTATTATATTTTTTAAAATCAATGAAGATAAAAAAAGATGAAGTCTAAAATTTTTGAAGATTTTTGGAGATTTAATGATTTAAATTTGGGTTAAGCATTTTACAAGACTAATATTTTGTAGTTTGATTTAAATTGATGATTTAAAAGAATTAATATTAATATTATGAAATAATTTGAAGTTTTATTGATTTTTTTTATAATTTGTTTCACTGTCATAGTTTATTTATAATCGAATGTAATCGAATCGAACCAATCGATCTAAATTTAATAGTTCGGATATAATTTTATTATATTAAAACCAAATCAAAATGAACGGATTAAATTTATATAACCGTTCAGTCGGTTATATTTATAACCGAAATAAATAAGAAACCGAAAAACGAAATAGCCACGTTTAGAGGTGGACGAACGGTCGGTTACGGATTAATCGGTTACGGTTATTTCGAGTTCGGTTATTTCGGGTTATTAAAACTCATAACCAAACGGTTAATTAATTTTATTCGGTTCGGTTCGGTTCGGTTCGACTCAGTTTTGTCTATTTAAAACTATAACCAAAATAAAGATTCGATTCGGTTTGGTTTCGTTTCGATTATAATATTTAAAAAATCAATTCATTTATAATTAAAAATATTCAAATAAAATATAATATAAAATATTATCATAATTATTTTAACATATAAAAAAATAATATCTAAATTTATATTTTGATATAAAACTATTAAATAAATAAAGATATTTTTTCAAATGTTTATATCATACAAACTTTAAAAATAATAATAAAATACATTTAAAATATAATATAAATCAAGAATATAAACATTGATATATATATAAATATATATAAATGAATATATATATAAATATATATAAATGAGGATATATAAATATTTCGGTTCGGTTCGGTTCGGGTTCGGTTAATTCGGTTTATAAAAATTTATAACTAAACGGTTAATAATTTTTAATCGGTTCGGTTCGGTTCGGTTCGGATTCAGTTATTTCGGATTTTAAAAATTATAATCAAATGGTTATATAATTTTATTCGGTTCGGTTCGAGTATTTATCGGTCGGGTTCGGTTCGGTTATTCGGGTTCGGTTATTTTGGCCACCCCACGCTTACGCCCAATCACCTAGGTTATTTGAGTGGTTTTCCCACGTGAAAGAGAGGAACCTGGTGTTCGCCATGAGAGAAGATTACGAGGTGCGAATTTCTACTCTCCCACCTTATACTGCTTCTGTTTTTGTTTTCACGTGTTTGATATGTTCTTCCGAATTCAGTAGAATTTGGGTCGAATTGGATTCGTTGTTCTGGAAACTGTACGAAGAATTGAAAGCCGAGGCAGATTTAAACCTACTATTCCCTGAGACGTGTGAGGAAGTTATAATACTTGCTACATAAGAACGGATTTCGTATCGGATTGAATTACAATTGAAGTTATGTTTGATTGATATTTGGCAGATTGATATGTTATTGGTTGCCGATGCCCGGCAGAATCATGTTAAACCATCTGATATCCATTGTCAAATTCGCAGTTGAGGCTTCTAGTCGCGAATGCATCTACCAGACTGTTTTTACATTGTTGCTTCGTGTTTTGGGGTTCAAAGTCTTCGATTTTGGTTGCTCTATTCCCATCTTTTCCTTGTCGAGCTTTCAGATTCGTTATCACTCCAAGCTTGGCAGTCATCGTTTAGACATAATTGTACTATGCATTATTCCTTGTCTGAATTGAGGTTATAGATGCAGGTAGACAAGGCATCATGATTTGTCTGAATGGTCTTTCGGTTCCTGTTGTTAGACAGGAATCGTGAAATCCTTATCTTTCAGGAGGATCGTTTCCCTTATTCGTTCTTTCTGCTGCTTGACAGGATTTTTTACTTTGCAGTAATTCTTGGTGTTTGGGATTATAGGTTAAATCTTTCTCTCCAGTGAAATACTAACAATAGCTTATCCGATACCACCATCTTAATAGGTTGATGAGAAGAAGCAAGCGGCTGCCGATGTATTGTTTAATTATTCCAAGTTTGCAATGGCATGTATCGGAAATCAAACTCGAGCGAGTGACATGAGGTTGCATTTGATGAAGGTAATTGTTTCTGGCATTCGGTTTTTTGTGTCAAATTTAGCGAGATTGGCATTTGCCAACACCTTATTCTGATGATGACTCTATTTTATAGGAAATCTCGGGATTGCCAACTTCTCTGAAAAGGAGAGAAGCTTCCAGAACAGCTGCTTCTCCTGATCCAGCGGGTGAATCCTCGAGCTCTGGTACAGCCAGGCTTGATAAAGTGGACAGTTTCAGGGCAGTTTAATTTATACCTGCCAGTGTTTCATAGTATAGATGTTTGGCGCATCACGGGTTTAGTTCCTGCCTCTTAGAAAAACCATTTATGGATTCTACTCTTGATTGGTCCGTGACAATGTTATCTTGTATGCAATGCCTCGATGTGTGATTATTGAAACTGATTGTTTTGCTATTACTCTGAGTTGTTATGTCTTTGGTGTCATCTCTTCTTTATGGGCCAGTCTCTATATGCTTTTACGCTATTGGTTTTGAGTAGATGTGAACTTTTGACAAAAAAGACAGGGAAAGCCAACAGTGAGATCTCATGGAGGAATGTGAGAGAGAGGTTTGAGATTTTCAATATAGCTTCTTATTTAGTTTTCTTGCTGTTATGGTCTATGACAATGAGTAGTTTTGTTCTCCAGATCAGACGAGGTCTCAGTTTCACATCTGTGGCTCTGCTGGTAACTTGAATATGGAAAAGAATCTAGAGATCATAAAGCTGCAGTTTTGAAGTATCTGAGCATATGCCTGTTGTGCCTGTACAGATTTCATAAACATAACGCATATTACCAGCTTTTTATGTAATCCAAAACATCATATGTCACTTACTTCTCTGTTGTTTCGTTAACATCAAACCATTACATATTCTGACAACAATCCGATCCCTCGGTAGCTTTGTAGCTATCTAATTTTTTTCCTTCCCATGAACAATCCCGACATCTACGTCTAACTTCAGTAAAATCTCAGAAACATTAAATGATGTGAAAACTCATTATCTTTAGGAATAACCGATGTCCATCGGACAATCTATCGAATGTGCCGCCAAGAACGACCACACCGCACGAATTCGAAGGTGATATCGCCGAAGCAGGAATCTGTGCTATATATACATCTTAAATGAAGGATGAAAAAGATATCGAGGTATTAACAAATCACTTTATTTGTTTTCCAATCCTTATGTTGTTTGTTTGCCAAATATTATTTTGCATAAAAACATCTGTATTTTCTTTTCTTTTCTTTTTTAATTTGCAAAGTCCCACGTTGCCTATATGTTCTTCACTTGCCTCTTCTGCTTAACTCATAGCATATTGTAAAGATAACAGCAGCTGCAGCAACCGCAACTCCAAATGCCCGTTGTGCCACTGCTGCAGGAACTTTTCTCGGTGGAACAAATCCCAGTTCTGATAATCTCTTGTGTGAAACTGCATAATCCCCAAAAAACGTGTCCTCGTCCTGTCGTATACATCATATTTAGTCTAAGCTTTTCATGAAGCTGGGGAATCATCTTTGAATAACGTCCCTATAAAATTTTGATATACCTTTGCATACAGCTCAACATAGCAGCGGAACTTGGGATCTTCCACTAGAACCTTGTCAGTTTTCAGTTGTAGCAACCCGGGAGTCTCCCCCTTCAGAAGTTCGCTGAAATCAAATTTTATCTACTTAAGGTATGCATTCCCAACAATTTCTTTCATCAGTTACTAAAACATGACTGATTTTTCCCCTTCTTACACAAAGTATGAGTTGTCAAACTTGAGAGGATCCTTTGTCCAAGGGCCTTCAAAGCTCGATCTTTCCTTATGTGCTCGTCCCTACAGAAAATCCGTCGAAATTGATACAATAACTTCTTTGTTTGTTTTTTCCTGATAAAAGTGTTCAAATTTGTTTTTGTGACCAGTGAATAGTAGTGTACCAAAGTGTGGCCTCCAGAGAGAGCTACAATGTCCTTATCGGATAGACCCATCCGAGAGAAGACAGTTCTTAGATGCGAGGCACCTGCTATAGCGGAAAAAAAAGGCTTGGGATTCAATTATAGTTTGTAATATTGGATGAGTCATGGATTTTGGTGGCACGAGGAACCTTGATTCGGGTCTGGAAGTTCTCCTTCATCCGGGGAATCTGCATCCTGAATCATATACTGAGGTCAGTAACTCCACAAACACTAAAGGTTTTAATAATTTTTTCATTAGGATTTTGACTGATACGTATATGCTGATGTTTTGTTGTAAATGTATGTACCTTACGACCGGGATTGAATTCAATTGCTGGGCCACCAGTAACTTCCACTGCAACGACTCCAGCGAGCTGAGAAAATAAACAACTTTCAGGCACATTGAGGAGGAAAAAGTTCACGGTTTCTTGGCTAGAGATTCCGGTAAGTTACCTGATAAAGATCTGCGTATGTGATTCGAGGATGCTTTGCCTTCACTTCCTCTGAAACCAAAAACCCAAATCCAGACATCAACAAAGGACAGGGCAGTTGAGACATTAGATAAAAAAAACCCAACTACAAAGACTGGTGAAGAACAGAGCCATGTCTCACCACAAAACTGCACTGCTTTCTCCAGTCCTTTGTTTGGTGGCCGTTTCAGCTCTTCCTCGAACCTGATTGATCCATTGGGGCCTCCGGTTTTGTTCTTGGCATCATATGTTCCCGCATCATGCCACCTTTTTCACGCCAAAACATGAGACAACGGAGAAAGATTCAGTAGAATAATCACATATTGAGCTCCATATGCTTGAATTATATGTGGTCTGCATACTTTACGTATGTTTGGGAGAAGATTAAGGTGAAAGAAGAAAGTCATACGCTAAACGAAGCATGATGGGAGCGCAGTTTCTGGAGGAGACGAGAGCTCGAAGATCTCTACGAGCCTTCTCTATCTCCTTCGTGTACTCTGCATCAACCTGCATCGACATTGTCGTTGCTTCAGAACGGCAGACTCAGAATATGATGAAATGGATCGTGTCTTGGAGATATGCAATGTGTGTTATGCATGTATATATACAGTGGACGAACAATGGTTATGGGAGAAGAAATGCTGAAAAAGGGATTGATTGGAGCCAGGGAAAAGGCAAAGAATGTTTGGTAATAACATTGCTGGATATGGCCGTGGGAAGTGGGAAAGAAGAACCCATCTCGTAATCTTGGCATATATTCGCACTTCTCCTGCATCATTGCAATTGTTTTGCATATCGTATAAAAGCATACAAACTCTTTTATGTTTCTACATGTATAACATACAATACTATTATAGTCATATACTAACTCTTTGTTGCTCCTGTTTTTGTTAGTGAAGAACGCCCAGAGACAGCAAGTAGTCTAATTCCTAACGGATGTAATTTTTGTCGGTCTTAATGGAAGACAAGTACCCTTATTGTCGGAACCTTTTTGGGTCTTTCAACTGTTTCTTTTAAAATCTAATATTCCAAAGAAAACATGAGAATCACTCGTAGAAATCTACTCATCCATCCGTCACCAATGGACACACAGACGGATTCGTATAACGAAACGCCAATAGTTACACAGATGAGGAAGGAACCACCACCCACCATATCTCTCTCTCGATCGAACAGCAGCATCAATAATCCGACAAAGAGAGAGTTCTCTCTTTCTTAAAAGCTTTGAATATCTGTCCAAAAAATCATCATGGGACAAATGCGAAGGCATTTTTTACGTGAACATCTCCCAAAGCAGCTTTTGTTTTCTACACTTTGATGGCTTCGAGTCTGGCGCTGATAGCACCGCCCTTCTGCTTTTGGGACTCCATATACCTCATCGTGCTGGCGAAGAAGGATGATTCGGCAGATGGGTCGGATGCAATGGACGACTCGCTCTGCGTCTCAGTCTTTATCAGTTCGATCAAACTCTCGATTGCTTCTACAGTTATTTGTGGTATTCCTTTCTCAAAGAAATACAAGTACCTGCCCATTCATTTCACACGCTACGTTTAGCCTACTTTTTTTTTGAAACAATAACGTTATCCAGCCCTAGAGAACGTGCTCCAATGAGGAAACCAATTTAACTTCTTTAGTCTTATGGATAAACGACTAACTAAGCCTTTCGTTTCCAAACTTCGATTATGGGATGAGAAAAGGGATTTGAGAAAGTTACTTGTTCAGTATCTCAATGAAGAGGATAACAGATCCAGTGTTTCCCCGTGCTGCATTTGCCATTTGTTGAGCGGAATTTGCAATCTTCAGAGCCCGTTTCAGGCAAAGCAGAACCCTGTTTTCGTGTCAAGAAACCCGATTAAGCTATCTGAGAACCTGAATCATTTGCCGGTCTCCCTAAGTAGTGGTGAATATCTTTTCTTACTCTTTCTTTCTTCTTCTTTTTTCGGATAGAATCCTTTCAGGGTTCTATCACTATCACTGCTAAACGTAGAAACCAGAGTTGCAAAGCATTGGTAGAAGAAAAGAATACCTCTCCCCGTCTCGTATATTGTCATGATTGTCCACCCAAAAGAGATGAGAACATGCATAAACAGCACGGCACTGGTCAGGTTTCTTTAGAAGCTTTGCTGAATACTGCATCATCATCGGAAAAATATTGTCCTTAATAATCAACGTAAGCAAAGGCAATCAAATTTAACATATATATATATATATATATATAAATTATCGGGAATCATACCCCAGTAGCCTTATGTGTCAAAGTATCTCTATTCTCAACCCCGAAAACGTGCATCCTCTGCAGTGTGCCAATGATCAATTGTAATGCGGTCACTTGGGCCTTTGAGTCCTGTAGAAGAAAATACATTTCCTAGCATGAGGAGACTACAAATTCACCTACTTCTTTTGCTACAAACGTTGGACCGTGAAAGGAATGAATTGTCAGGCCCAGCAGATTAACTAACCGAAATTTCTTCTTCGTATAAAATGTAAGCCTGGGTGAAAAATTCGTATGCGATTGGTTCTTCATTACAATCATTTGCAGCCTGGTGAATCAGGAAAATGTGTAAGTGTATTACATAAGTAAAGAGAACGTGACATTTTCATTGGGAAATTTATCTTACCTCGGCACATTGCAGGTACAATCGGAATGCCAATTCAGGAGCCGGAACAATAGATAGAGCTTCAACGGTCTGAAACAAACAAAAAGATAAGCCCAAAAAAGTTTAGAACTGAGGACTGAAACAAAATAAAAACAAACCATAGTCCGATAATATAAACAAAAATATGATAGAAATAAGAACATGGCATGTCATCTGAAAGGCAGTTAATCGTATTTCAAAACCAACAATTGCTGGCCTCAACTTGGGTAGCGAAACTCGGCCGATATTAACTCAAATAACTCAAATTTGAAAACATTTGTCATTCATTCAAAGACAAGCCAGATACAGTAACTGTTTTCCAATCTTTCCATTTTATCTAATGGAAAAGTATTTCCATCCTCTACAAACTGAAGTGAATACTGTGGTCACAAACAACTAGAATAGGAAATTTATGAGATCTGACCTGATTCAGAAACTGGAAGATTTTAGTGGCTGTAATAGAAGCCTCTTTTCCAAAAGGATTTTCGTCCCCTTGGACTTGCAATCTCCTGATTAGCTACAATTTACGATAAAATAGGTAAGAATAGTCATATCTTCTTAAAGAGATGAATTCCACAAACTATATCATCAGATAACTATCCTCCTATAGTATTTCAGGGTTTACTAAGGATAAATAAAACAGTAAAATCAAGGCCCTTGTAGGATTGAAATCAACAATACCACAATGGGGATCAAAATTAAAATTAGTGCCAAGAGGTTCCAGAATTTATATCAAAACATAATGTCCATGCATTTTGAAAGATTCGTATACATAATCAAACCTTAAGAGCCGAAACAACAAGAGGAGGAATGGTGAATGTGAGACGCTTAGGCCCTCCAGTAAGGAAATGCTTCTTCAGGGTACTGAGGATCTACAAGCAAGAAAACATCAACTTAGACAGTGAAGGCCAAACCATAGAATGCAAAAATACATAATGAGACTTGGTGGATAAGTAGAATGTATGACTGGCTTGAAACTATAACAAATGAAGAACAAAAACTCTTGCAAAACAGTATGTTAGTGCAAGATGAAGTTCTTTGGGGGGGGGGACATGAAGAAGAAATCGACACTCAAGGTAATGACGAGAAAGACTAATCAATGATCTCAACAAGCAAGAATTAGATGCACCTTAAACATTTCTTCTTGATCATCATTATATAACATGTGAATGAGACGCGCAACAGAATTCTGCTCCTCCATAAAATCATCTTCATCAACCTAAAAGTGTAAGAGTAGGGAGAAACATCAGAAATAAACTTCGTTTAGGGTTTTGGTAGAATAAGAAGGTTCAGTCTCAGGGCACAGTATAAAAAGAAAATGACAGTAACAACCCCATGCTGCTGGGTCTCATCCAAATCCTTGACAAGCCCTTTTATCAGTTCAAGCAGTGCTTCAACCTACCAAAATAGATCAAGAAAAAGGTTAAAGTATCCCACCATCCAAACAGTTTGAAATGTAAGACTAGAAAGGTTATTGACCTTCTCTGCTGTAGCAATATGAGTATTGTTTCTCATAATACTTTGGATTATAACGGTTGCCATTACTCTCTTTGTCTCATTGTCGAGGTACTCCATGACAAGAGGGTAATTTGTTAATTTCAAAGCTGTGACAACATCATTGTACTTTTCCAGTGGAGAACTTAAAAGTGTGACTATCTGCTTTGTTGCATGGTTGTCATCAATCTTTCCTCTGCCAGAAAGTTGCTTAACACATGATCCCTGCGGAACAGAAGAATAAATTAGTTTTTCCAACATGAAGCACAGATGAACCGACAAAATCATATCAAGTAATGGAAACGTAGTTCCCTTCCCTTGCAGAATAACCACACAAGAGGACCAGGCACTAATCAAATCAAAATATCCATAATTACAATTGGAAATTATACTTCAGCATAGAAGAAAGGTGACAAGTTTCTTTTCAACAGTTACATTCAGAAGACCCGCACAGAGATACGTTCCCCAGCAGTTCAGTAGGACAACATACCAACACTTGGTCCGCATAATCAAGTCTATCAGGGTGAACATGGAGAGTGAATTTGAGAAGGGCCGAATATAAGGTCACTGCACCCAGGATCGGCATCTCTGCCTGCGCTTCTATCACCTGCATCATTACAACGATTGTACGCAATTAACAAACAAATAAAAAATGCATCATAAATACATAATTTCAGAAATCACACAGATCTACAGAACTTGATATGGAAAATAGTTATAAAATAGTATATCCAAACCCGACACATAAGAATCCGGATCTAACAAGAACAAATAATTCAAGCTGCATTCCAGAGCACTGAAGTGATACTAAAAACAGATCGTTTGCCGTTAAGACTCAAACTTAAAGTAGGAGAAGTAAAGAAAATAAAGAGTCGTGCCTTTTCCGCAGCTCTTGCTACTCTAAGAAGAAACTGAAGTGGGATTCCTGATATGCCAGTAATCCCCTCCATACAGAAAAGTAAAAATTGCAGTGTCCTAGACCCGAAGGTTACCTTTCCAATTGCATTATTCAACTTTGAAAATGCTTCTACTTGCAGAAAATAAGGTAGCACTTCAGTATTTGAGGCAGCGTAATTTGATAGCCTCTCCATTAGACGTGAAAGCACCGTCATGATGTCAACTGAAGGCTGGGAAAACAAGGGTAGAAGATGAGATCAGCATAAGGTTTATATATAGGTTAAAAAAAGACCAAAGGAATTCAGAGGCAGAAGTGTTACTGATCTCTAGGGAAACATCACATAACTACTTTTCTTTTTAACATCAGTGGGAATAGGTAAATGCCTAACTATGAGAGGATTAATTCGTGCTACCTGAAGTTGTGGACAAGCACCTAGAAGTACATCAAGAGTCTGCAAGTGGTATTCATCAGGAAATACTTGAATTATACAGTCCATAAGGTAGTATTGTGCAATCTCATCTCTGCAATTCACAATCTGGGAATTCATCACAGTAAAATCAATGTCTGGTCAGGATGCAAAATATGTTCATGTGGGTGTGTGTGCATGGGTCTATGCAGAAACACATACAAGCATCATATATTTGATAAAATGATTTTACCTGCTCTAAAACTCTTGGAAGAACAGTATCTCTGTACAAATCAAGATCAACACCTTCTAACTGACTCAGTACATGAAGATTCTTTCCAACCTGATAATGTAATGGGGGGAAAATGTAGACCTCCATCAATGCAAATGCATTGTAGGCAATCTTTCAAAACAAATTTACCAGCCGCAGGGGAGTAATATTACAAGATCACGTAGCTCACTCCTCTCTTTTTCCCGCCTCTCCTTTTCTCGGGTAGGTCCCTGCAGACCAGAAAGCCCGACAGCAACCTTCAACTCAGGATCAGCAAAGAGTAATGATTTACAGGCAATATAACACCTGCATGATCAGAAATCATGCCTCAAGATGTATTTTTATCTTCACTTCATGCAAACATTCTGATTGCCCATGCCAAACTCGAGAACAACAAATGATGTATCTTGATCACAAATCCTCTACTAACCTGATGTTGCATTCTGACCCACAATTTATTCATCTCCGTAAAGTTCAGTAGCACAAACTCGACAGCATCCATGACTGTATCAGCATCTCTGTTGAGGGCAGAAAAGGGATCAAGTATTGGATGAATGAAGATTTCACTATGCCAGTATCAGAAATATCTGAAATATAATCTTTTTAACCTAATGAAAAGGACAGTAAATAATGGTCCACTAGACATATTGCGTTCAACCAACACCCTAAATAATTTCAGAATCAACTAAGGATTCAGCAATTTGGAAAGTCCAGTAAAGGCTAGAACATTGTGCCAGTCCCAAATGCTATGAAGATGCAAAACAAATGGTAGCATCTAAGTGCTTACCCTTCATATTCAGAACCGATATCAGGCAATTTGTCTCGACTGATTTGAGCAAGATAACTTCTCAAGAAGAGACCACGAACAGGATGCTGAATCCCCCGACACATTTCAACAAGATCTTTAAGAATCTCCTTGGCAGGAGCTTCCTTGGATTTGATGTATACGGATCCTGCTGTACATAGCAGATACCTAAGGAAGGAAAAAGGACAAAATTTTAGTAATTTCATCTTTGGAATGCAGCAACAACAGCTAATGATCAAGATCATCTATGAGATTATTTGAATCAATGATCTTAACTATGGGTATCGGCCATTTAACGAGAGCATAAAGGATCCCAATTACAAAAGAAAAGAAAAGACAAGGAACCAACATTTCGGTTGTGTAAATTACTTACAATCGCGGTAATATGTTGCCAGCATGCTGAACCAGCTCGTAAAGTTCAATGACTGAGCACCCACGCCGAGTCTCTTCTTTGAAGAAAATTTCCAGTTTCCTCAACTCATCAAAAGCTCGCATATCTAGTAACATGCAAACGACAAATCACGGATCCCTAACCCTATTGGTTTGAATTAACAAGCGAAGGAAACATATCGGATAAAGAATCGGAGTCGAACCAGATCGGAACAAGAGAGAGACTCACAGAGTTCGTAGTACTTGTGAGGAGAAAGCTTCGAGGTGCGTAGCTCGCTTAGCATCTGAGCGGAATACTTCAAAGCATCTTTGAGATTATTCGAGTCCTGAAAACCACAACCGGATCAATTTCCAAGTCAAAAGGCAAAATTAGGGTTTCCACCCGATCTCCGCAAAATCTCGTGGCTTGACCCAAGCCAATCGAACAAGAAATTTCACAGATTCTCCAAGGGAATATAAATTTCCCGAGAAACAAACAGAGCCCAACGAAAAATAAAAAGAAAAGCATAGGCTTGAACTACCATGGCTCGTTGCATGTAGAACGCGTTCTGCTTGAGGGCTGCAACTCCAGCTGCGAGCCATTTCTCTTCATCTTCGGCTCCGTCTGCGATCATCTTCTCTCTCTCTCTCTCTAAATCTCGATTTCTGGGTTTCTATCAATGTCAAAAGAAAACAACCTTTATAAGTCTTCGGTGAGAGTAATGCCCTGTTACGCACGTGTATGTTTTCGAAGCGATCTTCACCGTTTGATTTGGATACATCATGGCTCAATCAGAGAATAATATCATACATCCCTTGCCAACGAATTTAACGATTACACTCGCAAGTTCTATCCTCCTTTCGAATTTAACTCAAGAATTTGACCATCTGATCCAAGTACATGTACGTATAGGCTCGTGCAATGGGCAAACCCTTTTCGTCTGAAGCCGGTGCAATACCGTGGTGGTTACAAAGGTTGAGGATTTTTAATATTGGTATATAACTATATTGCCTTCCTAAAAGAATAGCATCAGTTTTTTTTTCTCTTACAACCTCGGTGTCTTAGACCTATCTAAGGGACGGACTTCCCCTGGAATACAAGGAAAAACATAAACCAATGTCCGAACACACGACCGACCACTTCACAACCAGCCTGTTCTATCTCCTCTCGTCGAAAGGTATCGTGGGTCAGAATGGGACGGTGTAGGGTAAAGCATGTATATCGGCTTCGGGCAGAAAGCGGGCACTTGGCCACTGCGTCCAAGAACTACTACTTCCCTGTCTGGTATCGAGACCGCTAACTTGACATCTCTCAGCACCAATGTTATGACTGTTTGGCTTGATGAACCACCATTCTTGATCTTCAGAGTCAGGTAGCTCACTCTGAATCGGGTCGGGAGCCCAATTATCGATGAGATTTAGAAACTGCACAGCAACTTTTGGAGGGCAGATAGAGCACAGGCTTGAAGGTTGAACTATTACTTCCGTGGTAGAGCATGGCTTCTCTTCGCTCAGTTCCACCATCGGTTGCTCTGGATGACTACACGAGGAGGACGGCATCTTGATATGCATAGGAGAACCAAAAAGGGCACCCCTTTTGTTATCTTTGGTGAAGCTTAGAGCATGTTGTGGGGCTACACTTGCAGATGTTGAACATGATTGATCAACCAACTCTCTAGGAGCAGGTTGAGATGCTTCAATCCTTCCCCGGAAAGAAAAAGGCTCGTCATCCTTGCTGGTTAGCACTTCAGGATCTTTCTGCCTTTTGACAGGCAACCTGATCCGTATGATGCTTTCTTCACATTTATAGTAACAATTTGAAGAAAGAGTATCATCAGTGTGCAAATGCATGAGAAGCAAACAGACCCAACAAATATACGGCCTTCCCCAGGGAAGGAAGGAACACAAACAAACTCACCAGAGGTGGTGTGATGCTTGCCATCGAGTGGCAGGCTCTGCTTCGGTATCTCATTGCTGTTAATAGTACTGTCACAGGAGTTTTGTGATGCAGTTTGATTCTCCCGTTCATCGGTAAGGCAGCTCTTCTCCAAAAGTTCAGCCTCATTATCTATTATCTCGCAATTTTTTACAACTTTCTGTTTATCCTCGGTATCCACGTCTTTATGCCGTCTCTTATGACTGTGCTTTTTGCTCCCGTCCGTCCCTCTTTCC